TTTAGATTTTTACAACTATGGTGAGAAACGTTTAAAAGTTACAACAACCTGTTGCGTCCTCTGAGGTATACTAGTGATGCGACAAAAGAGGTATTTGACATTGACTAGTATCGGCACCCTCAGGATTCGGCAGTCTGCGTGTATACATGCACTGCAACCTACTCTGATTCCATCCATTAGCCACTCATAGAGAGCTATTTGACTAAGTGGATTGTTTTAAGATTTTAAAAGTAAAGAATATTTCATGTTATTTTTATGTATGTTGCTTTACAAAGTTATACTTTTAAAGAAAATTATAATTAAATATATTAATATAATTGAAGAATATTTTGTACCAGGTATGTACTGGTACAGCCACCACACATTTATTCCACCAAGTTTTTATTATTTTATTTTTAATTGCAGCCCTTATATCGTGGTTAGCAATTCAGAATGTAATTGTGATATTAAAAATACATTTAGAGAAGTCTATGGTTTTTACTAGCATATCAAAACAAATGAATACGAATGGACTCTAGACTATCACTGATGTGCAATTAATTGATTTCCCCTGGAAGTTGGCTTCTTACAGAAACAGCTTCCCTATCATCAATGTCACTGCACGCTACTGATGTTTAGTGTTGAACATGCAGCTTTGCTACATATCCAGGAGGGCCACTATAATCCTGTTGTAGTGTACTCTTGGTTTGTCAACTCTTGCAATTCCAAGAACACCTTGTTTTCTCTTCTGAATTTCAGTTCTTTCAGAGATTTTATGAATGAAGGTGTCAGTTTACTGTGTTAGTGCAGTCATGGTACCCAAAATCAACAATGGTGTTCATGACACCAAAAGAACAAAAGCAAGTTACATGAAACGTTAAACAGAAATTAGAAGTTCTGAAGATGAGAGCAAAGGGAAAGAATCAAAACATTATTATAGCTCAATTTAACATTGGATCATCCACTCTCTACAACATAAGAACAAAAGGAAGGCCTTTGTTGCTGAAAGTGAAGCATGAATGAATCACACTGGAGAATGAATATGACTGCAAAAACTGAAAATGGTACAGATGGATGCTGATTTATTCAAGTGGTTCAATGTAAAGCATTCAGAAGGAAAACCAGTGAATGAACCCATGCTTATTGAAAAAGCAAAGTAAGTTCATAAAGAATTGAACATCACAGAATCAAGTGTGCTTACTGACAGATGGCTATACAATTTCAAACAGAGACATGGAATTCATAAAGTGGATGTAAGTGGTGAACAGCTTTCTGCAGATCATACTGTTACAGAAGAATACAGCAAGACATTTGAGACTTTAGTGAGAGAAAATGGCTTTTCACTATCTCAACTTCACAATGCAGATGAAACAGGACTTTTGTGGCAGTGTTTATATAAATAGTTACTAAACTGACCTTTTAGCATGTTTCCAGCAATGTCTAATTTTTAAAAATTTTAAATATAAAGTTACTGATGATGAATGATAAAATCTGAATAAAATTTTAATTAATATAACAAATACAAAACAAATGTTAAAATATATTATAATTTTTTACTTTATACTTATTTATTATTATTTTATAAGCTGTTTATATTTTTTTATTGTTCATTTTACATGTATAATTTAGAAGATATTATCTTAAGCATTTTTTTCTCTTTGTTTCTCTTGTTTTATTCTTATTATCAATGATAAAATAAGTGAAACAGGAAAAACAAATGGAATGTTTGAGACCAAACTGCATTAAGTATAAAAAATATTAATAATTACACCTGTTAAACCAAAGATGATCTCTCTTTTGTGACAAAGACTTGATAGATTTTAATCATCGGATCATCCGATAGGTTGAAATTCTGTTTTATTCATCCATTTACTATTTAGAAAAATGTTAAACAAAAATTTATTGTACTACTATCTTCTAGCCTTAACAATAATATCACAGATAAAATAATTGATGATCTTTTCAAGAACACAAAACTTATTTGTTAACTGACAAGGGAAGTTTACACAAGTTACAATCCACTTGAACAAAATTGCAGTTTATTTAAAAGTGTTTGATGTGTAGTATGCAAAAATGATTAGCTATCATCAAGTACATTAGAAGTTATGAGCATTTGAATTTTCACTCAGCAAGTTCAAAAAGTGTACTGTCAGTGCCTGTTGATAAAAGAGTATTAAGATGAATATGTCCATGAAGCATAAAAATCTGGAACAATGATCAGATTTGCTGATTGTAGTAGCTGCATTTCGCTAACAATTGCTTCAAGTAATCCATCACTTACACTACTTTTTGATATATGATAACTTCAGGCCAGAGAGATTCCAAAGAACTCTGTCCTGGAGATAAACAAGGAAATTGAATCCCTCATTGAAAGTGTGAACTGATACTTGTTAAAGATATGAATTTCAGTTTACTTCAAAACTACTTTGATTGTCCAAAATATAGCACATTGAGTGGCTAAAGGTAAAATATACATTCAAGATGATCTTGACTGTGTATTCCTTATGTGATTTTATGGAATTCATGTGAATTCTATCACAGTATCACCAAGTGAGTCAACCAAGCAGCAGAAATTCCTTGCAGTCTATGGGAAGACCATGCTTTTAAAGAATTGCATCATGATTTATTTAACAATCAGGCCAGATTTTGATACAATTTTCAGCATGTGTTCTGCCAATTACTCTCCAAACTGACCTTTTGATAGTTGGTAAATCACCAGCAACCTTGGAAACACATATACAGTGGTACCTCAGGATACGAATGCCCCAGCATACGAAATTTTCAGGATACGACATGAAATTTGAACATAATTTTGCTCCACAGTACGAACAAAAACTCATCATATGACGTTACATTAGTATGCAGCGCCATTTTTTATTCACTTCTGTTCATTGGTCTCAGTCCGTGTGTTTGCTTCATCGTGGAAGGATCTCGCTTGATAAAAGAAATCTTGAGGTATTATCAGAAAGTGACTGATTTTATTGAAAAGAAACATCCCGAAAAGGTTCACACTGGCCGTATTGCTGCTCGGAGTAATGACATTTGCCTAAGTCATTTTAGAAACATTTTAAAAAGTAGGCAAAGCCAAACCTCTTTGGATAGATATTTTACTGAGCGACCTCTAGCCAGTGAAAGTTCTGGTGGAAGTGAAGGAAAAAAAGCAAAAAGCAGCGAATAAAAATTAAAAAAAAAATATATAAAAAACAACACTAATTTTTTAAATCTTTTCTAAGTTATTTCTAAGTTATTGTTACATTATGTTATGTAAGTTAAGTTTTAGTATCATTTCCCTTCTCCCTCTCTTCCGCCACCAGTTTACACCTCCACCGTCGTCTATCCTCAAAGGTAAAGTGCAAATATAACTACATTTTTTTATTAATTATTATTCTATTATGGTTATTTATACATTTACAAGTACAAAATGCATTTTTCAGTGTTTTCCTTACTAAAGTTATTTTTTTTCAATGTACTACTTAGCTTTAATTTGAGTGTGTTTTTCGTGTTGGAACGAATTATTTGGTTTTACATGTAATCGTATGGGGAAAAATGATTCACCTTACGACATTTTCATGATACGATCTCAGTTTCGGAACGAATTAATTTCGTATCCTGAGGTACCACTGTACTCTAGCTGAAAAAACAGATTGTCAAGATTTTGCTTTCCCAGCTGTTATATATAACAGAGGGAAAGTATTGCGATCATCAAAAAATGACCCCCCAGATTTTTACATTTTTGGATTCGGGGACCTTGAAATATCATTGCTCAAATGCAAAAAATTCAAAGGCTTTTTCTGTGGGAGGAGCATGATTTTGTCACCCTCTTTGAAACTGAATAATTCCTGTGCTTATGTCGAAAATTTCTGAAATTTTGCAAGGAAGTTTGTTTATTAGGAGAATTGGTGCTATTAAATTTTGGTATTAAAGGTCATGGGGTGGGGAGATAGACCCTAGTGGAGAAGCCCGCTTTGTCTTATTTTATAATTGAAAATTCAAATAAATTACAATTCCTAAAATATTATTTCTTGAAACTGCCTTATTTGATTCTTAGCTTTTAAATTTTAATGATTTGTGATTAAAAATTATATTTTGATTTGCATCATTTCAGTTTACCTTATGTCTTTTATTTCCAATACAAAATGAGACCTAAATATATTTTTGTTGATAAAATTAAATCATGACTGATATAACAACAATATATTCATATCATGGAAATAGCATAAAAGTTTTGGACATGGAAATAAAACTGAATGTTTTATAATGAGAGAAGTTTTCATTTTTGATAAAATGCTGTTTCTAAAATAATTCTTATATAAGTAAACTTATGATCAATAATTCTTATATAGAAAGAAAATTCCACATTTTATTTCAATTCACTTATTCATTATTCACTGTACATTTTGGCTTACTAAATAGCTAAACATTTTAATTTTAGTTCATTATATCATATGAATGAGAATGTTTGAGTTTCAGTTTGTCATTTTAGACAAACTGAATTACATATTAAATAAATTACATTTAATTAAATATTCCATTAAAAATACAGTAGAGTGTCGATTTTTCGAATCAATTGGAGACTGGGGTTGTTCGTATAACTGATATTTCGGATAACTGGTTTACGTACGAAAAAATAGTTTAAATAGTGTATCCGATGTCGAAATTTTTCTCCGTTGCGTGTCGCTTTGCGTTGAATTTTCGTCGATGTTAAGCCTAACAAAGACTATTGTATCGTTAAAAATTATTTTTTAATTTTGTACAAACAAAATAAATATATTGAAAAATATAAAAATAATAAAAAATTATACTTCAGATGTTAATTTAGTATCAAAAACGTAAAATATTTGAGTAGCCCAAGACATAGCCAAAGATTGAAGCGCCACAGCACTGGCGAAAATTTAAATTTGCTGACTGGAATTCTTTCGGATGATTGACTTTCAGAAAATCGACGCTCTACTGTATATGTGTTTTTAATTTTTAAAATAAAAATTTTAAATTGTGTAATTTTTAAAATCTTTGTTTTACAGATGTTAAATTTATTTGTTGCTGTAATTATGGATAATTTTGACTACTTAACCAGAGATTCATCTATTCTTGGAGCTCATCATTTGGATGAATTCATAAGAGTTTGGGCTGAATATGATCCAAATGCAACGTTAGTATGCAGTAAATTAATTTTAAAATATTGTTATTATTGGATTTGTTTTTTTTTTTTAATATTTATAAGTGTTTGGCATCACTCAACCAACAAATTATCCTCCTGAAATTATGGTATTCTTGTCTAAAAATTTATTATTTCAATAAAATTGCTCACTGTTGATGCCATCATAAGAGGGAAAAAGGGGATTGCATTACACTATACACTTATTTGTATAATATATTAAATACATTTTGTGTTTTTAACATGACATTTTAATTTTACTTCTTTCAACAAAAATTGTGCATGATGCTAATACATTTCATCAGCATATTGAGTAACAAATGTTTTTATAAATTATAATTAAATGAAAATGATCAAATGATCCACTGGATTTTATTTTATCAGGACTTCTGGGTAGTGATAACTAGATAGTGGCAATGAAACTGCATAGTAAATGGAAGTTGTGGGTTTGAGTTCTTCTTTTGTTAATTCATTTCCTTCAAAATATTCTAAATTAAATTAAAATTTATTTATTTATTTAAAATTATTAAATTTATCATGAGATGGCAGCCTGAATGCCAACCTCTTGCCAAATTACTTTGGAATTATTAATTGGTCTGATAAAATCCAGCAGATTGTTTGGTTATTCTAATAAATTAGGTTAGGATGTTGTTATGTATATATAATATCATCCATATTTTCATATATATATATAAAAGAAAATGATTTTTTAATCATTATATATTTGGTTTTAAATCTATTTTTCAATTAATATTTACTTCATCACTTAGAGTCTGTGGTGTACTTTTGGAGAATGATGTGAGTATTGGAACTCCCCAGAGGCTTTAGTAATAAAAATTTAAAATAAAGAAAACATTTGTCTTAAAAAAACAAATCTAAAATTTTGTTTTATTAATGAACACTTCAATATCAGTCAATTATTTCATTTCTAATTATAATAAAAAATTAATGCTCAGTTATCAATTGCTTACTTATACTAAGTGACTGTGGATTGTTCTAGAAGAAAGATCATAGTTTGGATATTGAGTTTGTTCTTGAAATTTCCTTCTAGATGTATTGGGACATTCTAGAATATTTGTCTGGCAGGTATATAAGGGACACTCATTTGTTGGCAATGAGGGGTAAGAGAGACTTAATTTTTCTTCATTCCAATTATATTTTTTACATCATCTCCAGAACAAAGTCTTAGTTTGAAATTACTTAAAATTATTATAAATTTGTTGCTAGATTCTTTATGCTATATGTGTTTTTGTTATGGAAATGCATATAATTGTTTTCTGATTTAATTTTTAGAAAATAAAATATCATTAAAGTTGTCCCTTGTTCAATTTATAAAACTATTGTCATTTCTATATTCTTGTATTTTTAAAAGAAATGCTGAAAGAACATATGTCCTTTACAAAATATTAATAAAAGTGTCTTACTCCTTATTTGCCATTTTTGAAGGAAAATAGCATTAAATTAAGTTTTCATTATTTTATCACTGAATGACAATCAAAAATAATTAATTTTGTAATTCATTTAAATACATTGTACATTTGCCACTATTCAATATCTTTATATGTAGGTGCGTCACTTAATGATAAAGATAAAATAAATCATTAAGTGAGCATCATAGTATGCTTAGACAAATCTATAGGGTATAGTCTATTACTTGCTTAAGCTATATATAACCTATTGTAATTGTAGCACACTGATAAGTATTTATACATCTAAACATAGAAAATGTGTAAGCAGATATGAATCTTTTGACTCCACTATAATCTTATGGAGCTTCTGTTATTAAATGACACAGTTTATTATTTTTGAATTTTTTACACATATATTTTATGTTTTCTACATAAAATGTTATTCTTAAAAATGTTTTACTTCATTTCTTTAATATCTCGCAAGTTACAATCTTTTTGAACTCTTAATTCTGATTTTCAGATTTAAATACAGTAGAGCATTGATTATCCGACTCAATTGGGGACTCAGGTTGGTCAGATAACTGAAAATATCGGATAACCGAAAAGAAGGGAAAAAATACATCATTAGTATAGTATATTAGGATATTAGTATATCCCATGTAATTAGTTTATTAATATATCGCTATTAATCAACTTCGTGTTGAATTTTTATCGATGTTTAGCCTAACAAATTTTTTTTAAATAATAATTTTTAACGATACAATAGCAACATTTATTTTTAAATTATTTTATTGCTCACAAAACAAACAACCACTCATAATTAGAAAATTAAGCCTCGTTTAAATACTGGCCTCCCTTTCATGGTTGAGCGATGTTGCTAGCTAAAACACGCAAAAATTTAACAAAAATAATATTAAAGTAGCCAAGACATAGCCAAATATTGTAATGCCACATCACTAGCGGACATTTGAAATTTGCTGACTAGAATGGTCGGTTAACCGATGTGACGGTTAATCGGGGGTCGGATAATTGATGCTCTACTGTAATTATTTTACTTGTATTTTTAAATATCTTCTGATATAGTGTGATAGATAAGCATCATTTGAAATATTTTTATTTTTATTAAAATTACCTTTTTTATAATACTAGAATCACAAACACACTTTTTAAAGTGTGACAGAAGTCCAGTAACAAAATTTTTAATGTAAAAAATTTTTGACAAATGTTTTCAACCTAACTCAAGATCTACCTCAGGTCTTTAAATTAATGATATCCCAAATTGGAATGCACAGAATAACTTTTCAAAATATCATTTTTTTAAAAATTGGAACATAAATATAACGATATATAACAACAAAGATCAAATGGTGGTAAATATAAATTTAACACCTATATAAAGTTAACACACACATACAAAAATTTTAGGAATAACATAATACTAATTAATAAAAATTAAATTATGTTGGCACTCCCTGGTTTATCATAAAAGCATTGCCATGCATACGAAACTGTTTTTCTGTCCTTAAAGTTAATACATTTGCCAGTCAGGTCAATCTTGTATATTTCCAAGGCTTCTAGAGCCCTAATGTGATCTGTTTGCTTTATTAACATGGCATTTTGGAGATCAGCTTGCACGTCATACCAATGTTCTTGCACCCTTTTTTATATTTTTTCAAACACAGATACTCAAACGGCGTCACTGTGAAAAAACAGTGAATGCCATTTGAATATCTGCTAATCGACGTTCCAACTGACCTCGTTGTACCTGAGGAAGGCCATTCAAAATGGCCGAAAATGTTTGTACTTAGTGATTAAACTGATAGAAGTGTGAAAGGTTTTGTCTTAGTCTAAGTAGTTCTAGCTTCAAATGCATAGAAATAACAAAAGTAATTTTAAAAGCTTAAAATAAGAAAATTTCTTAAAATTTAATGGTCTTTTTTATTTGTAAATACAGTTTCTAAAATTTTAATTTTGCTGATTACTAACTAAATAATTTATTTTCAGAGGATATATCCATTATACAGAAATGTATGATATGCTGAAAAATATGGATCCACCTCTTGGATTCGGCAACAAGTGCCCTTATAGGCTAGCATATAAGGTAATCTTTTTTCACTACTTTTTCATGTTTCCTTACTTTTAGTAATTGTTCTGTTTTTGTATTATTTGAATTTTGATGCTTCAGTTTTTTTAAATAGATAACAATTGTGATTGTAATATTAACATATATCTTAAAAAACTTAATACATTCAATCTTCCATTCACATGAATTTGAATATGCAAACTTATCTATAATTTTGTAATTTTTCTGAACACAACAGCTATTTGTACAAATATAGATGAGTTTGGTTTATGTATGACATAAACCAAATTTATGTCTGACAATCATAATATTTAGCCTCTCTCTTTTTATCTCTTATACTAATATTTCATTTCATTACATTGCATTCATTTATGTATTATAAACTCTTTTAAAAACTCCTGTCATTATTATGTCTGTATCTACGTAAGGAGAAAATGATGAGTCTGGAAAGGGATATTTCAAAAATTAAAGCTTATGAAATTCTTGAGATGAGATGAGTGTAATTAAAGATATAATTATTTAATTTTCTGTAGATTAATAAAAAATATCTTGGTAATTCAACTTAGTTAAACTATAATTTTTCATTAAATCACTGAACTCTGGATTTTATATCATAATTATTCAATAACATAGTTTTATATCATAAGAATTATCTCCCACACAAGATTAGATCATGCATATTACAGAATGTATAAATAAGTTATCTATGCATCACTGCCTTCACTGATTATTTGTGTGCAATCTGGTTCATGATGTCTGCAGCTATTCACAAATTTGGACAGTGACATACAATAACCAAACTAAATATGGTGCAAAGGATGTGCTAGCTGCAAAAGACAATGACATTTTTTTCCTCTTCTTCCCTTGATAAATTGGCTAGTTTTCAAAACTAGTGCTGTACAATGAAAGAAGACTGATTTTGGACAAAATTCTCATTGTCTATGTCAAAAACAGAATTGGTGTTGAAATTTCCTGAATCATTTTCACAACTTGGTAAGGATGCAGACCTTCACTTCCTAACATCTTCACTTCACATGTGCAGGAATGAAAATGAATAATTACAAACCAAAAGATCAGCCCTGCTCTGAGCTGAACAAACAAGAATGCAAACAACATGCTTTGGTATGTTTAATTGTAGACGGGGACAAGTGGTTACAGGTTGAAACACATCAGTTGTTAATATATTTATGGAACGATTTTGTTCCATTGGCAGTTACAGGAAACAAACTAGATGGAATATCATCTCTTTTAATCAGATAATCAAAGTTGCACATTATTTTTCATATATAATGAAAATAAAATTAATGAAAAGTTATAAAACTACACAGTTTTACTATAATAATTAAAGCTTTATAGAATGTCAAAAAGTCCTGTTGGCAGTTCTAGTGTTAATGTAGTAATTTAATCTAAAAATCTAGATTTTAAATTTGACGTGAACCATGAACAATCATTAACTGTATTGAGTCTGGTTGTCTAAACTTTAAAACAAAATGGAATAAAAAAGTTTGTTAATTTATACTCTCTTTGACAAAAATTTTGATGCACCCCTAAAAAATAATTCAATTGCAATGAAATACTATATTCAAATACCTTTCAACCGAATATGCTAATGATAAAAAAATTAACACCCGATAAATGAATGGTCGGATCTACAGCACATTGGAAGTGCCTATCATGATGGTGTATGTAAAGAGTGATTCTTTCTTTGAAGTATCAAATTTCAGTGGAGATTGATTGCACTGATCATTTTTGATTGTAGTGGGCATAAATTTGATGGTGAGCATCATTCACAATCATACTATGGAGTTTGAAAGACTAAAAAGGGTGGATGGACAAATTGACATATTGCCCAATATTTGGGTCAGAGTGATGTGACAATCAGACAATGATGGAATGAATGGGTCTTGAATGGCAAAGACCAAACAAAAGCAGTCAGTAGATGGTCTAGAGTGACGATGGAATGGAAAGACAGAGCAATTGTTCAAGCAGCTGTGACAGCACCAGATTCATCACTAGCAACAATCCAATGTGTGACTAATGCTGAAGTGACCACCAGGATCATTGCTAGACTACTACATAAGCAGAATTTATGCTCATGATGACCATTACACCTGCTACTACTGACCTGTAGGCATCATCAAGGACAACTGCAGTGGTGCTGGGCTTGATTAATGTGGAACAGCTCTGACTTCTGATGACCAGTGCAGACTTGTTTGGAGACATTCTGGCATTGCCAGAATCCCGCTATTACTGTCAAATGTCACACAGTCCAACAACAGGGATTTATGGTCTGGATCACCATTTCTTTTGATAGCTGGACCCTCTTAGTGGTTGTCCATGGTATCCTCACAGCACAGTGATATGTTGATGACATTGTAAACCTGTTGTGAAACCATTCCTTTTGCAGTACCCAGGGCATACTTTCCAACAAGACAATGCTTGGCAACATATGGTACACCTCTCACGTAAATGTCTTTGTGGTTGCAACATCCTTTCTTGGCCAACCAGATCACCAGATCTCTCGCCAATTAAGCACATTTGGAGCCTGATGAAGCATTGCCTACAACCAGCTGGAAATCTTAGCCCACCAACTGAACGCTATTTGACAAGAAATCTCTCAGGACACATCTGTCAACTTTATGAATCAATGCTTTGCCAGATAACAACCTCTATTCAGGCAAGAGATAAGCCAATGTCTTATTGTGTACTTTGTGTAACTCAATACAGCTTGGTCTTTATGCCAAATATTAAATAAAAGGAAGGAAAACTCACTAAGTGCAGCATTAACAGTTTTATTATTATTGTCCACTTTCAAAACTGTTTGTCAACTCTCTACTCCTCAAGAAGGGCTTTAATGTCCAACAGATATTGGATATATGTGATGCACTGATCTTCATCACAGAGCACAGTTATTTTCATTTCAATCAGAAAATTTATTTACAGAAACAGGGAGTCTCCATGGATTCCCTTTTATCTGCTGTTTTAGTGGAACTGATCATGAGAGAAATTGAACACAGAGCATTCAATTCCCTGCTTGTCATCCACTGCCTGCGATTGTACTTGCATTATGTTGATGATATCTTCATAGCATGGGAGGACACAGACAAGATGTTTTTTACCTTCAAACAACAAATGTCCAGTGTATACTCATCTATTAACTTCACTTGGGAGAAAGAGATTGATGTGGCAATAACATTCTTGAATTTGCACATACATAGATCCCCTGAAAGGCTCTTATTCTCAATTTACCATAAATTTAATAAGGTGCCTCATATCATCCCAGCAGATGCTTTCCAACGTGTTGATGCTGCTATTGCTGCCCTCATTAAAAGAGTGTTCTTGTTACTGTTAATGCAATCACTTGCAAACATTGAATTAAACACTATTAGTTTGGCAGTACACACAGCTGGTTTTTCACAAGCTAAGTTCACCCATGTGCTTAACACAGTCAGGAAATCTCTATTTCCAAGCGCAACACTATTGGGACATTCCGATTTTCAATGCGAGTGTTGAGTGTTGAAGTCAACAATTTGACATCATCAACAACGTTCCAACTGGAGTACAAAGTGCTTAGTTTCCATAATTCCATTCTCACCGAGATGGATTCCATTAAAATGTCACACCAATTACCCACAATTCATTGGAAAGTAGCAATCAACATGTCTGTTGAGTGCTGAGTGTGTTGAGACAGCGCTGACAACAGTGCCACTTCAACGTTGAAAAAAGGAAAGATTTTTAACAAACGTTGAGATCAGTGCTGAGTCAGCGTTGAAAATTGGAATGCCCGGTATGTAACAAGAGGGAGGTGTCAGTAGTTCAACTGCCATTACTGTATCTCAGACCCCTTTCCATATTCATTTGCCATATATTCAAACAACATAACTTTCTCCTGCCACTATCTCTGCTACTGAATTTGCACAGTCTCATTGTCAACGATTGGGATAAATTCTCCACCTTTGAAAAATCTGGAGTCTATGCTGTACTATTGGAGAATCCCATAACAGGGATGAATGCTCGCTAGCTGCCTAACTGAGCACCAGGATGACGTGGCAAAAGGAAACTGCATCATTCTAGTGCATACCTCAGAGCTCACAAAAAAAAGGTACTCAAACAGAGCTACAACCTGTTATGAGCTCAAACAATGCTACTTAGATGCTGCAGTGACAGAAAACTTGTGTTTATATGGGAATCTCTCCTCACAACAACCTTGGAACTGTGCAAAACTCCCATACTTCATCTGCCAAACATATGAGTTGCCCTATATAAAAAGTTAAATAGTGATTTGTATCTGCTATCAATCCTTTAACATGGATCTATATTCAGACATGCACTGCATGATGTCATAACATATGAGCATGCTACAAACTTTGATTATGCTCTAACAGTTTTTAATTTAAATTTAAATAGTGTGTTCCATTCATGTTATAACATTGCATTCTATATTTTTAAATTGCCGTTTGCTTGATGACACTAGTTCTAGTTCTAGATTGCTAGTTCGTCGAAAGCACTAGCAATAATAATAAAACTGTTAACTCCATACTCAGTGAATTTTCTTTCCTTTTATTTGTGTAACTATTTCTCTGGAATAAATCATCCAACTGTTCCAAAATTGTAATCATTACTTTTTTGTGCATGTACAATAAACATACCAAATTTTGTTTCAGTTCGATAATTCCTTCTTGGTATATCAATATATTTTTTTGTTAAAGAGTGTTATTAGCTGTGGCATTGAAATAAAAAATACTAAATAATCATATCATATTAGCAGTGAAGTCTGTCTGGCACTACAGAAAAAAAGCAAAAATGCAATTTTTATATAATAGAGAGATCTAGCAGATTTCAAAAATGGAGAGATCTATTTCTGTTTCTCTTTGAAATCTCTAATGTTATTTATTAGCTTTTAGAATAGATACTTTATGAATGAAAGTTATTCATTAAAGGAGACTACATAATCCTAGTTCCATCAAATAAAAAAGATCCCAAAATTTTTTGATTCAATTAATTTTTATTATATATTCTTCTATCACCTTCTGGATATAGGAACTGAAGCATAATTGACATAACGGCATTGTTATATTTTGATCCACAGAAAGTTATTTCAAGATAAGCTTTCCCTTACTGTTTTAAATTTTTTTTCTCTTATTCATTTTGATTATATTTTTCTTACCATTATTTTTTCATTGTGGCATTTTTAAGTAATAATAAAATTTTCCTTTGAGATTGTTGTTAAAACTCTGAATGTTATATTTTTCAAATTAAAACACATAATTTTGACTTTTATTCATAAACAGAATACTAAGGATTAAATAGTAATAAATATGTAGAAATACATTAAAAAATATTGGAAAAAATTAGTAACTGTAACAGAATAGTCACTTGATATCCAACAGATTTCAATATGAGAAAAAAACAATATAAAATATATGGCTGAATAGCCAAGATTGAAAGACATCTTCCTGACATTCTGGAAGACAAGTATGAATCTGGGTCAGAAACCTTGGAATTTTTCAGGGGTAATCTATCTTGGATATTAGGTCCTGTCTCTCACCACCCATCTAACTCCCACACATAAGGCATTCAAAAGAACATAACATAAGACATAACACAGGATATAAGGCATTCAAAAGAAAAAAATCTATATATATCTTATGTAAGGTTAACTTTCAATTTAAGATGAATTATTTTAAGATTTCTGTTATAAAAAATAAGTTTAGTAATTTCTAATATTGTATTTTAAAATCTTTTTGCATTATTAAATAAAAATTGACAACAAAAAGATATATGAGAAATAATTTATTTATTTAATTTGGATATTGTATCAATTAAATCACATGCTTTATAAATCAATTTAGGAAACAGTCTCATAAACAGACAACTAGTTGTGGAATAATAGAAAGATTTTTCTTTTTTGAAATGAAGACTATTTAATTATTATTTGATTATGTTTCTTGAGAAATGTATATGTTATATTTGAATTATCATTTTAAATTAAGTAAATTTTAATACAGAAATTAATATTCTTACTATACTCTTTTTGTATTTAATAAAAAAATGGAAATAATATTGTTATTTTTAAATTAATACTATGGAACTCCAATATAATAAAATCTCAATATATATTTAATACATTTCCTTTAAAAATCCAAATAATTTTAAAAGAATTGTTTCAGCAAAATAATAATCTCTTAAAAGATATAAATATTTGAATTTATCAATTTTTAATAAATAAAAAATACAATTATTAATTATAATATAAAACATACTGTAATAATTAGATATAATCCAATTCAATTCAGATGAAATTTATTTTCATACATACATTACTTATATATTTTTATTGCCATTAAATCCATTTTGTGAAAAATTTCAAATTAAAAAAAAAATCAACATTTGATATTATCAAGGTTTGAAATAACTGATGCTCTCAGTAAATTAATAATTACATAATGAAATTGGCTGGTGGCTGATAATTAGTTATAATTGATAATTTTTGTAATAAAATTTATAGTTTTTAAAAAAAATCATAGATATAAAATCAAAATTGCTTTAGATAGAAAACATATAAGAATCAAATATTTAAAAATAAATAGTTAAATTTAGCCTTTTTCAGGTTAAGGATGATGTCAAAATGGCTGCCTTCAATTTCTTATAGACATAGCTGACCAAAGATAATTTGACTTCAGTTTTAACAATCGATAGTGCATTACTTAGAGTTCCAGCAGGCCAAAAACATTCCAAATTATGAATTATCAATATTTTGGATTATCCGAATTCAATACTGTAGGAAAGCTTGTGGAAAAAGACAGGTAATTACTTCAAATTAACAGAAATTTTGAATTAAATGATACTCATATTTTCCAGATTAATTGATAACCAAAAGACTTTCAACAAATTGTTTTTGTTATTAAAAAAGTGATATTAAATTGGAGTTCCATTGTATATTTGAACGAAAATACAGGATTATTGTATTTTCTGTTTTCAAAAAGTTTTATTGAAATATTATAGTAAAAAGAAAGCAGTTCAATCATAGTTTAGAATATTTGTATATAATATTGATAAATAATTGTTATATTTTATTGTAAATTTTACAAAATAATAAATATTTGTATTTTCTTCTCCAGATAATGTAAGGAAATTTGTTTATTTTTAGAAGATTGTCCTTACAATTTTAAATTATCATAAAATTTCATTTTTATTTGAAAAAAAATTGTCAGTGTGCTAGATAGTGAGTTTCCACCACTTNTATTTTTTGTGTCCCATCAAATATGGAAGATCAAAAGCAGCATTTTTGGCATATTTTGCTCTTTTATTACTGAAAAGGTAAGAATGCTGTTCAAGCGAATCTTTATTTTAATAAAAATATATTTCTACATTATATTTCCGAATGACAAGAGGACTTATTTTTTTTTTAATTTTTTCAATATTGTAATAATACAAACCAATAATCATTTATAATGTTATCATTAATTCTTTCAAGACACTTAAATATTTATATGCAATGCTATTTAGGTGCACTTACTATTAATATTAATCTTTAATGTTAAAGAAATGAAATGTAGAATATTCTAAAAATTAACATTGGAATAAAAATTAAATACAAGGGCAGTTGAATTTATTTCAGTAATGGCAATGAAACTATATGTGTTTTATAGTTCCAATTTATGTTTTTTTCCTATAGGTATTCCATCCCCTCTTCACATACTGACATTTCCTAATTGTTTCAACAACAATGCCTGCAAAATAGAAATTTTTTGAGTGGTGCCAGAGCCATTGCACAACAAAATTCCTGACTTCAGGATGAATCACTTCTCTCCCAAAATGTCATTGAAAAAGTCAAAAACCAAATGATAATCATACAGTAACAGAATTGGACTTTAGATTGGGTGATCCAGAATTTCCCAACCAAGTCCATTGATTACCTACACCATCACAGGGTTGTGCTCAACACTAGCCAAAAGACTTCTGTTCTGATGGCACAGCATTATTGCCAAAATAATGGAAGATGTATCAGCATGTAAAGGAAGTATCTAGACAAGAAAGCATAAAATTGGAACTATGTAATACATATTGTTCCATTGCCATTACCGAAATTTCAACAAATTAAACCTCCCTCATATAAAATATCTATATTGTTAATGCTAGACAATAAAATCTATAATAGTATCAATAGGAAATAAACTGAAAAAATATATAACAGACTAATATTAATTTATGGATGTAAAACATAATTTGAAGAAAACATGTAACATGTCTTCTTCAAATTATAAAACTTAACAGAAAATAACTAAAAAGTTTAAATTTTATAATCAAGAAGAATACTTTTTAAAACAATAAAATGCCATCATTTTAGGAATCTAGTTATTTATATATATATATATATATATATATATATATAATACTGTTTTTCTAAGTAATCTAGAATCTAGCTGCAAGGACCC